CCAACAATCTTTCAAAAGATTTTTAACTGGATGATATTCTGAGTGACCCTTTACACAAGCCCAATATCTCATCTTCAACTGTAACATCTATACTAGATCTTATTACTGCACTATATATTCTTTTTAATGAAACACGGACGTCATCCGGATGTTGCCATTTTCAAAATAAAAGTCACTTTATTAGCGGTATAAGCATGAAATGCTGAAATCCTATTAAAAGCAGAGATGTTTTTAATATTATGGGGAGACACCAACCTCCGCGGCAAAGACGTTCAACTTGAATCACTGTGCCTTTAACTGAACATTTATTGTTTACTATTGTCATTTTGCATTGACACACTATTTTCCTATTTAATACTGTAAAGTTGCTTTGACACAATCTGTTGTTAAATGCGCTACATAAATAAAGGTGACTTGACTTGACTTTCCCCCTTCTTTTTAATTGGTCTCTCAAGCTTTATTTGGGGGCCAGAGCAAGTTACTGTCTGCCGTTGCTTTTGCGAGTTCACACAACAAAGTAATTATTTTATTGTAGTTAATAAATAGTAAATAGATAATTCATAGCTAATTAAGTTGACAATAACAAGACATACGTTTATAACAATGAATATCAACTCAAAAGATTAATGTATTGTTATTATACATAAAGGGTTTTAGATTCTGTTGATGTCATAATGGCGTTGATTTCTTTTTCTACATAATTTTACCACATAACTAAGGTGTCAGTTCTATATTTTAATTGTACATAACTGCTACAAAACTTACTTTTTTTTTTACACAGGCAAATTAAGATATAAAAATCTGTAGCCTATTTCTATTTTGCAAAGATGGTAAAATAGATATTTAAAAATGACACAGCACCTCATGATTTTATGATTTTTAATTCCCACTTTAAGTCATGTCAACACATTTTTTCAGTTTAGTATGAGGTTATAATATTCAGCATATTTCATTAATAGTTGCTGAGGAAAATTCTATATTTAAATCATCTTAGAAACCTAAATCTAAAAGAACAAAGGTGAGCTCCAACCCTATATTCTACAGAACATATCCACAAGACGAAACTGTTACACATCAGTAATGCAAGAAAATGTTGCAGTTCTTCAAATGACTTTGTTGTAATGAAACAACTGCAGCTCACACGAGTTCAAGGGCATCAGCAGGACACAAAGTTGAAACATGTTTTAATTAAAGAGACAGTTCACCCCAAATCAAAAATTCTGTAGTTATTTACTCACTCTTATGTCTGCACGTATTGTGAAGTTGTATAACAGCTTTGTGTGGGAAACAGAGCAAACTTAAGTTGTTATTCAGTGGTAATTCTCCCCTTCAGTTAGCTGTTAAAATCTAATTTTTACAGCATCATACAGCATATGGGTTTAGATATGGACACTGGTCATGAAGGTGAGTAAATAATGTAATTTTTGAGAATTTTTAAAAATGATTAATTTCTGGAACTGTTGCTTTGAAGATCATGATTGATTTCACTCCACACAAGGCACTCAGGATGACAAAACGATTCAAGTCAAACACTGTGGCTCTTCATGTGCCTGTTTAAGTGTGTACGACACGTGTAAGCCTTTGGGCACAGAGGACATGGGAACGGCCTCTTCCCAATATGAGTGTACATGTGCTTGCCCAAGTCATAACGCCGGATGAATCGTTTCCCACACTGCAAGCAGCAGTGTGGACGCTCTCCGGTGTGAAAGCACATGTGCGCCGTAAGGTGACTCGAAACCACAAATTTCTTGCCACAGATTTTACATTGATACGGCTTCTCTCCTGTGTGAGAGCGTAGATGCACCTGCAGGCATCCGGCGGAGACAAAACCCTTTCCGCACTGATGGCAAACGTATGGCTTCTCCCCGGTGTGAATTCTGATGTGGATCTTCAAATTCCCAGATAGTGAAAACTGCTTCTCGCAGTATGGACAGATGTGCGGCCGCTCACCAGAATGACATCTCATGTGGGATTTTAATTGGATTTTGCTGTAAAATCGCTTTCCACATTGCGAACAAAGGAGAGGTTTCTCACCCGTGTGGTTTGAGAGGTGGGCAAGTAGGCTGCTGTTCGCCGAAAAGCACTTCCCACACTGGTCGCATATATATGGCCTGAACTCTGCATGGGTCTTCAGATGGCTTCTTAATTCGCTGTCAACATTGAATGTTAAGTCACAAAAACGACACTTTCCTGGCTGCCGTTCCGTTTTAGGCAGGCGGACATCTTTAACTTTGTGAATCTTCTGGTGGATTAAATTGGCTCGGTACGACCCAAAAGTCTCGTTGCATTGTTTACAGGTGTAGTTCCTTTTAACAGTGGGAGTCCGGTGAGTTCGCCGGTGACTGACTAACCGTGACAAACTTGTGAACAGCCGTCCACATTCAGGGCACTTATGTGTGGTTTTCTCTTTGTGCACTCGGTTGTGCCTGTACAAGGTCCTGAGGGATCTAAAGTGGGCTGTGCATTTGATGCACTTAAAAACTCTGGAATTGCAGTTGGTGCTCCTGTGTGACACCAGCTGCACCGAATCGTCAAAAACCTGCCCACACTGAGGACACTCATGTGTCCCTGCCTGGGTGTGAATTTCCTGGTGCTTGACAAGATCAGAGCGATAGATGAAGTATTTTGTACACTGCTGACATTTATGTACAGTCCTGCCTGCATAGTGGAAGCCTTTAGAAGGTGTGTTTGAGAAGGTGTCAAGAGAGGGCCGTTGGAGAGGCACAGCTGTCTGAAAAATTAAATCACCTAAAAGGAAAACATGACAAACAGAGACAGTTTACTTAAAAGATGAAAAGATATAATGACAATCTTGACAGACATTCAGAGAGGCTGTACCTCTGTGAGCATCATCGGTGGATGACAGTACACTTGGATCTTCTGAGTTACTCCTACAAAAAGAATAAACAGGATCTTTTTACAACAAAACTATTAATATTTTAATTTATGAACACTACAGAACAAATTCTGTAGTGATGTGCTCATAGTCCGACTTTTCACACAAAAAAAAGACTTTTAGATTACAAACAGACTAATTATGGATATCACTCACATCAGACATTTTGACAACAGTCTGACAGTAACCATCTTGTAATTTATTGTTGAATGTTGTAAAGTTCTTGCTAAAGAAACACTCTCAAAACTTTCTCAGAAGTTGTATATCAGAAAATGATGCCCTTTAAAAGCACCAACAATCAAAATGACTTCATTTGATAATGGCCATCAACTTGGGACTCTAATGATTTTCATTACATGTAAACAGCTCACATATTCTTCTTATGGGTTTAGAAATGGACACTGGTCATGAGAGTGAGTAAATAATGTAATTTTTGAGAATTTTTGAATTTTTTGGTTTACTATTGCTTTAAAGATCATGGTCGATTTCACTCCACACAAGGTATTCAGGATGACAAAATGATCAACAATCACAACAACTTCATTTGATAATGACCATCCACTTGGGACCCTAATGATTTGTATGTAAAAAATAAAAAACAGCTGAAATATTCTTCAAATATCTGGCTTTGTGTTCCACAGAAAAAAATGTAAAAAAAGACAAGAGGGCATAGACGGAAATCGGGGGGGGGGTCGGGGGGACAGGACCCCCCCCATCTGAGGGTTGTCCCCCCTAAAAATATGATTAAAAACCACGCTGTGTATTTTAAATAACCTTTTATACTTTAAATAACTTTGTAAGTAGTAAAACAACAAACGCAAACGGGGCAAAAATGGGTTTTAAAGTCGGCATGAAATCAAAATTAACTTTATTTACTTTACTAGCGCACATTGCTAGTCTTGATGTGAACAATTAATCTGTGCAAGTTAATCCGCTGAAAAAAATTGTTTGTCTTGGTAATCTTTAATCAAAATCTGAACATTCACTTCTGCTCTGGAATGGAGAGGGGGGGGGGGGGTCGGGGGGACAGGACCCCCCCCATCTGAGGGTTGTCCCCCCTAAAAATATGATTAAAAACCACGCTGTGTATTTTAAATAACCTTTTATACTTTAAATAACTTTGTAAGTAGTAAAACAACAAACGCAAACGGGGCAAAAATGGGTTTTAAAGTCGGCATGAAATCAAAATTAACTTTATTTACTTTACTAGCGCACATTGCTAGTCTTGATGTGAACAATTAATCTGTGCAAGTTAATCCGCTGAAAAAAATTGTTTGTCTTGGTAATCTTTAATCAAAATCTGAACATTCACTTCTGCTCTGGAATGGCAGTCCTTCTCTGATGATGTCAGTTTGACGGCTTGGGCAGAATATCCTTTTAAACACACCCCTCCAACCGTTAGTTTGATATGAG